CCGAGCCCGACGCCTTGATCGACCTTCGTCTCCTAGCCGACTCCTTCTCCCGGACAAGATCCGACGCCCCCTTTGCTCTGTCGGATTCGCACGCCTGGGCTGAACCCGACGACCCGGCTCCGCCTCCCCAGCTGAGTCCGAGTTCACGCCACCTGCTCTCCCTTTGGCCGACCTAGTCCTGATGAATCTCGCCTTAGCCGAACTCTATGCTGGCTTCCTTACACTTGCAATGTGAGCTTCTCCTCTTCTTCTCCTTTTTCTTCTCCTTTTACTTCTTCTTCTTACAAAATCTAAGAATGAAATTTGCTTGAGTTGTCTTTCTATATCTATGCTTACATGTCTCTTTGCCATAGTGGTTATCACATGGATTATGAGGATTCCTTTGTTAGTTATTTAGAAAGCGTTGACTGAATAGGCGTGTATATTGTGGCTTTTGTGATGATTTTCTTTTGTATTATCTCATAAGCATCGCATGCCAAATGTTTAGCGAAATGCCATTGAGAGAGAGTTGTGATGTTTTGGTTCAAGTTGAAGCTTTATATTGGTAGTATTTCATAAAGTTCATGGCTACATAAGGGTTTCATACTTTCAAATCAAAGATTTCCGTGACCATGAATTGTTTTGCTTAAAAGAATCCAATGTCATTCAATATTTTCCTACATGCTTGTTATTTTCTAATATTGTTTCCAACCTTTGAAGTTTTGTCAAGTATGGTGGGTCCTGTTTATATGCCCCTCAAAGATTTGAGTGAAGTATAATTAGCTCTCATATTTCGTCAAGAATTTAATTATGCCATTAAGGAATGATTTGAATCTATTGTGCTACTTCTATGTGAAAGCTAGGGCAAGTGGTAGAACATGATTATGCCTAGTTCCATTTGAAAATTTGGAAATTATAAGACTTGATGGTTATACATGAAACACATGTTGTTAGTATCTGTTAGAATATTTTGATTTATATATCAAGATTTGGGTAGCTTATTTTGAAGGGACATGCCAAGTTGTAGTTGCTCTCCTCCATTCCAGAATTTCGGTAAACTTTAAACAAGTCATTTTGTGATGATTTCAATAGGGAGATTGGTGATGGCTTGTGATTATAAGATGACGATCTCTACTTTAGCCTACTCCATGAGGATCTTGCAAATAGCACACATTAGCCATTTGATGAAATGTCGCTAAGAGGAAATCACGATTGTTTGGCTTATATTGAAGATTTATGTGATAGTACTGTTCTTTTGGAAGCTTCCAAACATGTTATTCAGAAGCTTGCAAATGAAAACCTAGCCATACTTATTGATTCCAATCAAACGTTGTCTAATGCTTTGTAGATGTATTTGACATGAGGATTTTTGTATCATCTTTCTTGTTCACCATTACGACGTTGGATTTGATTTATTGGATGAATCTTGTCATGATCTTAGTGTTTGTATGTATATTCGAGTGCATAGTTTCTTTGTACCCTTTTCTTTGACATTAAATCTCAAACATGATTTGCTCTTTGATGAAGATTACCAATGGCCCTCAAAAGTAAGCATTGTTTTCTATAAAGGGTTTAAGTATGAAATCATAAATCTTTCCAGTTTTCTTTGTGAAGCTTAAATTTCTTATAAATAATGTGGCCAAAGTCTGTTTTACATACTTGTGTCTTGAGCATGAATAAATAAAGCATGATCGGTAGAGCTTTGTACTTAATGCCATGGACTAGTTTGAAGAAATGTTGTTGATTTCAATTGAAACACTTTAGCAAAAGTTGTGTGTCTAATATTAAAGCAAGCTTATGGATTTGGGTTAAAGGTGCTCTTAGAACATCAAATAAGTTATGGTGTGAAAATTAGAAGCTTGTTGGAAAGAAATCATGTATTTCATGTTTTAAATCAATATTGCATTATGGAGTGTTATCCTTCCTTGAGTTTTGAGGGTAAAATGATGGCATAAAAGTTTCTTTCTCCTCTCTAAATACATTTGATATAAGTGCTGAGCTTGAGAAGTCTTGTGCTTTAAAATTTTACTCTTGTCCGCGCATATGTGATATGAAAGTAAATTCGTGGGTTTGAGTCTAAACCATCTTTGAATTCTCAATGGCAAATAACAATAAGTTTGGAAACTCTTTAGGAAGTTCTAAAAGTTGCTTCATATCGGAAACTCATTGAACTTTGAGAGTTGTTGTAAAGTGATTTGTGGAAGAAAATCCTGAGATTGGCTATGTGCTGAAATTTTCTTAGATTTGTTTCATGTTGGAAAAGCCTTGCAATTCACTTTGTGTTGGAAAATCTCAACACAAAGTGATTGGAGTAGTTTGGCTATCTTGGAAGATGACACTTGGTGTGGTTGGAGCATTGTCCCTAACATTTAAAAAAAAATCAGATTGGCATTAAACTCTATTTTTGGTAATTATGTTTTGATAGAATTTTTTGAGTTCTAATATTAAGTGGATTCGTTGTCCTGTGGATTGTTACAAAGAAGTGTTGATTTTCACTCTTACATTCTGTCTGATTTCATTTCAATAACATGGTGGAAAGTTGAAAGTGTGTGGGCTTTATGTCGAAAATTTGATGATTTCCTTTTGTTGGGAAGGACTTTGGTTTGCTTATGTCAAAAGATTTATGATTGGCTTTAGATTTGTTTTATATTGGAAAAAATTATGATTTGTTTTATATCATGGAGACTTGTGATTTGCTTCATAATTGGAAAGATTTATAAATGACTTTATGTTAAAGTTTCATTAATGGTTTCGTGAAAGTCTCTTGATGGAGGGCACTATATTGCCTATTCATTGAGAAACTTCCACATGTTAACCCCAATCCAAACATAAAAGCACTTGATTGTCTTTGTGTTGAAAAGGATTTTTGGTAGATGATTTTTGTAACGTCTTGTGTAGTATTTTGTTTAGAAGTTTTCATAGAGTGTCTGATCGCCCCTAGAGGAGATTCAGTCATTTGTAACCGATTCAAAGTCTAGTGGAATCATTTTCAACTGGGTTAGGCCTCGTGATTTTTCCCCTTTCAAGGGTTTTCCACGTAAAAAATCTTGTGTTCTCTGTGTGTGAGCTAGTTATCCGTACAACGTTAAGACGCAGAATTAAATCTCTATCGCCGCGTATTTTCTAGTCCACAACAATAGTCAAGAATGGAATGTAGGATAATTGCATCATTCAGGGTAAATACAATTAAAAATTACGGTGAGTAAGTTGATTCCTATCCCTTAAAGGGTATTCCTCTTATATAATGTATCCAAGTTTTTCTCTTATGACATCATGAGGGGCATAATATAAGGTGAGATTGATTTAAATTCATTAATTAAGGATGGTAAAAGATTAAAGGACAGTTGAGCATCCCATAACAAATGAGTTGAATTGGTTGTGTCCAAGAGATCTTGAAAAGATTATGGTGGAGGAGAAACTTTGGCATGATGGCGATAGCTACACTCTTTCCGGAGTTGAAAGATTTGAGCATGAGGCTCCTCCATCCTATAGAGACAATCCTTCAAAGTTAGATCAAGGTGTCCTTATAGATTGAATTATGTTACTCTTGTTTGTGAGAATAATTATAAGACATTGAATAAATATTTTATAATATGATAAGAATATTTTTCATGTATGAATTTAAATTGATATATGTTAGAATATTCATGGTGGTAGCATGAGAGAGTGTAACATCTTAGCTTTATGTAAAGTTTTAACATAAAAATAGATAAAATAAGAGTGTAATAGAGACACCAAAATTTTTATAATAAAAAAATAAAAATAATAAAAACTAGAAAAAAAATCTTAGAGCCTGACCAAATTAAAGTGATTTTATTAGTGTATGTAAATAATTACAAGTGATACCTTTTCCCGATTTGGAAAGACATTAATGCAATGTAATAGACATGCCACTTGACATGTGAATGATAGATTATATGGTGGAAGTTAGAGGAGTTTTTAAATATTTGAATTATCTTCAAGAGATATACATGGTATATTCAATTGTTCTTTTTCAAGAAGAGGATACTAAAAAAAAAAAAAAAATTAATATGATAATGGTATTGATCGTATGAAATCAAAATAGATGTCAACAATATGCATCGACCTTATTAGCAATTACATTCATTGATGTTATTGACAATGACAAGTGATACAATGACAATGACAACGATCATATTAGTCTTTTAATAAATGACATGTGACTATGATGTACATTAATCTTATAGGCGATGTTGTACGTAGACATAGTCGCAGATGACAAGCACTAAAGTTAGCTGGCATTGGTGTTATAGGGCAACGATAGATGAGCAATTGATGTCAAGAGATTGTAGTCAAATGATGGTGATCAAGAGATCATAATCATGTGATGGTAGTCAAACGATTATTATGTAGTGACCATAGTTTGGTGATGGTAGTTAGGATACCGTAGTCAGGTGACAACAGTTGAATGATGGTGGTTGATAATGGTCATCAACACAGAATGTTGGGTGGAGTTCTAAGCTACCTCTAAATTTAGCTTAAAATCCCATGGTCTCTTTTAATGCAAAAAATGCAAGTCTTTTTCTAATTTTTGAGATTGTCATTTTGGTTATTTTGGCCAAAGTTTTAGAACACTATATTAGATGGTAGATATTGAATACTTTGATCATAGATTGTTCTTTCAGCATTTAAGTGTCTTAATGACCTTATAATTAAGTGATATTAGGTTCGTTGGATTCCTCTCACCAAAGAACTAATTTTGAATACAAGAATGCAAAAATCAAGATCGTTTGTTCCTTCAATTAAAGCCTCAAAAATTTCAAACACATTTTAAGTATTTGATTTGAGCATATTTAGATTTTGATCATGTCCATCTTAATGTTGTTAGGCTCATCTTGTTGAGGGGCTTAATTCAACTCTAAATTTGTTGAAATTGAAATAATTCTAATTTTAATTTTAATTTTTTGTTAAGATTTATATCGATCAAATAAATTACTTGATTGTGTATCAAACATAAATTAAAATTTCATGATTAAATAGAAAGAGAATCATGATCAAGGTAGATTTTAGAGGACAAAAACTCCGACCATTCCCCGAAATGTTCCCACGTTGAAACATGGTCAAGGAATATCGATGCGCCATGCATTAATCCAAGAAGCCGAAGCGGGCGCCCTTGAGGTCTGACGCGGCTGCGAGAACGTCGATCATGGAGCACCCTACGGATCACTCTCTGCAGAAGAACGCCTCCGCCACGGTTGGCGGTTCTACAGGTCATTCAACGGAGTATGCACCATACCCTAAGATCGATCCCGCCGACATCGATCCCCCTCCTCCACCGCCGCTGGCGACACGGGGCGAAACTGGTCACGTAGCCACATCCATGCCGGCTGAGAGCAATCCCTACGTCACGCCCTCATCGGTTCCCTCGTCTTCCAAGAGTAAGCTTCTCCTTATGTTCATTTATCCCCATATTTGCGATCTGCTTTTGAGGAGCGATAGGGTTTCTGATTTGGGGATTGCATTTGATAGATACCATGGAATCAGTGAAGGATGTGCTGGGGAAATGGGGCAAGAAGTTGGGGGATACAGCGAAGAAGACGGAGGACCTTGCTGGGAACGTCTGGCAGCACTGTGAGTCTGAGAATCGGTTGTCTTGTTCTTGAGCTTGTTGCTGACTATTGTGCTTTTAATCTTATTCATTTTTATTCATTGAATTGACAGCTAAATATACTGGATTTGGGGTAAATTTGGTTGTTTGTTAATAGACAACATGGCACAAAAATGATGATCACGCTTTCACTCATTTTAATTTTGAAAATGAATTCTTCACATTTGTGAGTTTTTGAGGCATTTATAGGTTTAAAATCAAAATTAATTTTAAGTACATCCAACCAAATGTCGCGGGATCTGGTAAATTCATGGTTTTGCAAAACATGTTTTTTAACTTAAAACAATCATTAAGCTAATCCATTTTTTTGGAACTTATGAATTTATTTATCATTTTTTTTCCTTGGGGGAAGTTGTAGTTGTTTTGTAGGCTGTGGTAAGATTTTCAATACAGATCATCATTCTGTGGTTTGTAGGCTGTGGTAAGATTTTCAATACAGATCATCATTCTGTGGTGCTTATATCTATGTAATCAGCTTTCAGTTTGTATCAACCTTTTTTCTTTTTTTTTTTTGTATTTTTTACTTTGTCAGATAAATGGGAGAAATCATTATGAAAATTCTTTTATTTGGATAGGGAATGACGAGGTGCATTATAAGACTGCGGGAATACCTTATCCACTACTTGTGTTTTTGTTTTTATCCTTTCTGGTGTTTTATTGTGTTGTTTTAGTAGGTTAGCACTTTTACAATGTTATGGGTTGATATAGAAAGAAACAGGAGTATACTAGGAAGAAGAAGAAGTGAAAAGAAGAAGAAGAAGTGAAAAGAGGGAGATAAATATATCGAATTTCATATCAGCTATAAGTTTTCGAATTAGTTCCGGCTATTTCTTCTCACAGATCGATTGTTCTTGCATGCTACTTCGTCAGAGTTGGTATCACAACCTCAAGTCTGGGAAATATGGCTGAAGGGAACCACCACATTGCCCTCGATGGTGATCAAAGCCTATAGGCATTGTGGACGACACAAACCAATGTCGCTCATAGGCTCGAGGAACTTGCAACGGACTTTCTGCGGTTCTCAGTCGAATTCCGTCGAGAACTGCAATTACAACGTGTTGATAGAGGAGTTTATCTTATCCTGCGACGTACTGTGCCAACAACCATACAGACAACTCGTGCTATAACCCGAGCACTAGAGATGCAAGGAGGTATCCAAGTGACATTTTTTAAAATTCTTATTTTTAAGATGATTTTGAACCACGACAACCAGTGGAATCTTTGGATTCTGAGGATGTTTAACACATTCGTAATAACCCAGCTAGAAGTTGTCATGAGAGGGTCCAACGAACTCAAGGGGAATTCCGCATCAAACTGGATGTACGCTTCTTTGATGGCCGACTCCATATTGAGGATTATCTTTGATATATCATAAAAAAATTATCTTGATCAGCCACAAATCTCGAGGCAAAATTGAGTTAAAAGGTTATGAAATTAAATTTGGGATTATCTGAACTACGATTTCAATAAACTTATAGTCGAACTGAACGTCTCGTAAAAACAAATCCAACACACCAAATTCAACTCAATCCAAGCCCAAATGTGACCAAATCAAAGACCCTAAGCACATTTGGAAGGATCAAACTATAAATTGGATGACCAAACGATTTTCAAACGTGACATGCTTAGTCGAATCGAGCGGTTGGACGAGATGAATCCAACGAGCCCAAGATCGTCGAATTCTGATATCAAGAAGACGTTCAAATGTCCAGTAAACGATTCATGATCAAGGGGATCAAGATCGACCGTCCATTCAAACAACTCCCAACGTACTCTTGATCTCCCTCCTATTTATTGGCTATGCCACTCTTAGAAAATTATAAAAGACCAATGGGGGAAGCAAGGAAGAAAGAATAATTAGAGCTCTCTTGCCACCAAACTTTTCAACTATCATCGGACCACCAACCATCGCCGGACTATTGCCAGACTTCTGCCCAGTCATTGACTGATGCCGGACTTCTGTTCGGCCACCAACTGATGTTGGACTTCCACCTGGCCTTTAATTATTATTAGACTTACACTAGGCCGCCAACTGACACCAAATTTTTTCCCAACCACCGACTGACACCGGACTTGCACCCGGGCCACCAACTAACGCCGGACTTCTGCCAGGCCACTAACTAACGCCGGTCTTCTGCCCGGCCACTGACTGACGCCAGAATTCCACCTAGCTCGTCGACTTCGGTCCTTCCGACCTCTGTCACCAAACAACTGTCTTTCTGATCACTCTCATATGCTGACTACAGTCCTTCTAACCTCCGTCGCCTGCCGACTACGACTACAATCCTTCTGACCTCCGTCTCCCACCGACTACGATCCTTCCGACCTTCATCGCCCGCCCACTATAGTCATGCAGACTAAACGAACATGTCAATACTGGTTCTTCCAATTCCCACCATGTAATACACTCTATATGATGTATATTTGCTACATTAAGTCAAGGCCTTCCGACCAAGGAAGGGCCTCATTTGTAGTCGACTGTAAACACTAGTGGATTCATTCAAACTGGGCTATACCCCGTGATTTTTCTCCCTTTTCAGGGGTTTCCACGTAAAAACTCTGGTGTTTCTTATGAATGCTACACCTTTCATGTTATCTGATTGTGTGTTGGATCTTCGTACAAAATTAAGACGTTAAATTTTATATTTCTTTATCGCTGCAAATATTCTGCAACAATCTTGATTGGGTGAGGTTAGTGGAAACCTTCTTCGAATATATGGACATTGCTCTAGAGAATTAAGTAAAATATGTTGCATGTCGATTGAGCAGGAGAGCTAGTGCTTGGTGGATGCAACTTTTGCAGACTCGACGAAGATAGTGTCGAGGAAGTGTTCGTAGTTGAAATAAACTACTACGGGGACATTTTCTACCTATAGACTTTGAGCAAATGCTATAAATGAAATACCAACATTGTAACCAAGGTAACCACAATGTTAGTGAATACATTGAAGAATTTTATAAGTTGACTGCACAAAATAATCTCAATGAGTCAAACAATAAACTGGTTTCTCATTATATCAAATGATTGAAAGATTTCATTCAGGATAAATTAGTATTAAACTCAGTTTGGTCACTGTCCCATGCTATCAATTTTGTCCTCAAGGCTGAAATGCAACTTCAACGACGCGCTCACAGCCATCCATCCAAGCGTCAAGGCGGCAAAACTGTTATTTATATAAAGTCTTCAACGTTAGCTACTAAACCGATCTCCCATACACAACTTGGGCCGAGAACTAGTCCTATTCCCAATGCAAAGTTTGCTACCAGACCACACATTCCAGCGAAAGAGAACCCATACTTAAAACAATCTACTCTTAAATGTTTTCATTGTTTCCAACCTAAGACATAATTCAAATGAATGCCCTACTCAGCAACAACTGTAGGTGATCGAAGGGGAAATTGATGAAAATTTAACACCTCATGAGGATGAAGGGGAGGCTATAGTAGAGGATGTAACAACTGATGAAGGTGAAATTGTTGTTTGCATCCTTGGAAAACTCTTATTGGCTCCCCGACAACTAGTCAACTCTCAGCACAACTCATTTTTTCGCATTCGATGCACAATAAATGACAAGGTGTGTGACTTATTGATCGACAATGAGTGCACTGAAAATGTTGTTTCCAAAACTCTTCTTCATGCTTTACAGTTGAAAACTACTAGAAATCCTCAACCATACAAAATCAATTGGGTTAAAAAGAGAGTTGAGATTCTAGTGTTTGAAATGTCTCGGCTAACCCTTTCCATAGGAAAACATTATGTATGTGAAGTCCTATGTGATGTCATTGATATGGACGTATGCCATATTATCTGGGCTGACCTTGGCAGTTTGATACAAGTGCCATATATGACTGTTGGCAGAACAACTATTCATTCTAGTGGAAAAAAAAGGAAGTTTCATTTGCTGCCTAACTCTCCTAACGTTACAACCAAGGCCAACAATACAAAATCTGCACTCAACCTTGTATATGGAGCAGCCTTATTATGGGTTGGGCGTGAAACAGAGACAATATTTGCCTTGGTTATTATTGAACAGACTTTGGGATTCAGCTCATCCAAGCTTCCAAATCAAGTGCAAGACCTGCTCATACAATACAATGACATTAGGCCTTCTGAATTGCCCTCTCAGCTACCTCCCTTACAAGCTTTACAACATCATATTGATTTTGTACCTGGGACCACTTTACCCTACCCACTACACTATCGAATGACCCCCCAAGAGCACAGCATACTCCAGCGGTTGGTGGAAGAATTACTAGAAAAGAAGCTCATTCAACCAAGTTTAAGTCCGTGAGACGTATCAGCGATTCTTTTTCCAAAAAAAAAAAGGGAGATGGTGTATGTGCATTTGATAGAAGGGCTATTAATAAAATTACCATTAAGTACCGGTACCCCGTTCCAAGAATTGAAGATTTTCTAGATAAATCAGTTTGTTCAACAACCTTCTCTAAGTTAAACTTACATAATGGATATCATCAGATCCGTATTCGACCAGGTGATGAGTGGAAAACAGCCTTTAAAACCCGCTAAGGTCTATATGAATGGAAAGTGATGCTTTTTGGATTGTGTAATGCCCCGGCTACCTTCATGAGGCTCATGAATGAGGTGCTCAAGTCCTTTCTTGACAAGTGTTGTGTTGTTTATTTTGATGATGTACTTGAGTATAACTAGTCCTTTGCCAAACATCTTGAGTACCTGACCCAAAATTTTGAAACAATTCATGCTAACAAGCTATATATTAATGTGAACAAATGTGAATTTGCCACCACTCAAGTGAATTTCCCGGGGTTCATTATTTCAGCCAAAGGAATATATGTTGATCCACGTAAAGTTTTTGCTATAATGGATTAATCGACTCCTTGCTCACTGTTTGACATTAGAAGTTTTCATGGGTTTGCTAATTTTTACCGCCGATTCATAAAAGGCTTTAGCGTGCTAATGACTCCAATAACAGACAGCCTGAAG